AATAGTATTGAGTCATAAAAGGTTGACCCTAGCCATAACAGAAATTTCCATACAATGCAACGATAGGAAGATGTGTTTTCTCATAACTTCAGCATTGCTGATGTCTGTGTATCTAAAGCCAGTGTTGTTACTTTTGCATTTTAGATTTTGCATATAGTTTTATTTCTGATCACCTGTATATATAGTAGTCTAATTCTCTGCAGGACATGACTACTTTGGTAGATATTAGCAGTAACCTCAAAGTTGTTAAATTCTTTGTACTTTTCATTCCCAGGACCATCCATTTGACCATTTTAGAAATACCAAGCCAGAAGAGTATTGACAGAATTTTGCTTTTTTCATGAGAGAAAACTTTTTAAGGTTCAGGAAAAAATTATGAATATTTGATTAAGAACATTTTATTAAAATAATCAATTAGTATAATTTAGAGCAAAAAATTTAATTATCTGTGGGATGCCAACTTGAGTTAATAGTATCATGCTTCTTATAAAAAGACTTAGACTTATTTTTATATTAAAAATAATTTAATTTCCAAAGTGTGTGTGTGTTTTGTGTGTGAGTATGTGTGAGTGAGTGTGTGTGTGACTGTATGTGTGTGTGTGAGAGAGAGTGTGTGTGTGTGTGACTGAGTGTGAGTGCTGGTGACCACAGAGGTCAGAGATAGCACATCTTCCTGGAGCTGGAACTACATGTAGGCAGTTGTGATTGGCCCAGTGTAGGTACAGGGAACCATACTCAGGTCCTCTGCAAGAGCAGCTAGTGCTCCTAACTGCTCAGCCATCTCTCCTGCTCCTCAATCTCATTTAATTTCTTGATGTTGTCTAGATTTGTTTACCTCCTCTTATTCTAAAGCATTGCTCCCACAGTCATATTTTTGTTTTTTATAGTCTTTTGCTTAGGATAATCAGAATGTGGTAGTAGTGTTAAGTTATATCCCCCCACCCCACCCCACCCCACGTAAGCCTTGATCATTTCACAAGGCCAGTATCTCAGAGACAGTTTCTGTAAAGCCAGACTAAGAACCTGAACTTCTCCCATCACCAGAGCACAAAGCACCCATGTGAGTGGCTGCAAACGATGTGAGGAAAGTTTGTTGCTGGAAGCGGAAAGGCTTCAGTGAATGAAGGCACTGAGCTAGGGACCAGGGCTGGGTTTGCAGTGACCAGCAGGGAGGCCTTTTAGCCGTTTTGTTGCTCTCTTGGACATCTCTGTTCTTTTGATATCCCTTTACTCAGGACAGTTAGTGAACATGAAAGTACAGAAAATAATGTTAAAGATATGCAGGTATCAAATATGAGGAGGCCAATTTCAGAAACTCAGTAATTTGATAATTGTTTCCTCACACCTTATTCTTCTGTGACATCATGGGTTCTGGACATGTGTACTACATGTTTTTGCTACAGGCAGTGGCAGGAGTAGTTTTAAACTGGTCTTAACAGTTTTGTGCTTTGATAAAACTTTTGATAAACTTTTTTGTTGTAAAATTTGAGTATAGGTAACTTTTTATTACTAATGCCCACATTTCTTTTGCTTTTATCGACTCTAGTTGTTAGTCCAGTTTTATGTTGCAGAAAGGCTCTTCCCCTGCGCCTCATCCTCCATTGCTTCCTTGCCCTTTCCTCTAGTGTTAGTTGGTCAGCTAGCATTCATCAGTATTATTTAAAGCCGGACTTTACATTAGGAGTTAGACTCGAGGTCACATTCAGTGGGCTTAGACAAGTGTCTCCAGTGATTATCCATGAGAGTGTAGTATATGCAGTTTGATTGGTTTATCGATATCCCTGCTCTATAAACCACTTGGTCCCCTCTGAATTCTTAGCAGTCAGTTCTTGTAATGTCCACACACCTTTGCCAGAGTCTCATAGCTTAAGTCATATAGTTGAGCATATTTTCATGTGTCCTGCCTAGATTTTGTCAGCAGGACACAAGCTGTGTTTATCTTTGAAGAGGGAACATCAATCAAGGAAAGGCCTCCATTATAGTGGCATCTAGGTAGGCTTGTAGGGCATTTTTAAGTTTTGTATTCCTAATGGTAAATGCCAAGAAATTTGACTGTCAGATTGTACAGTAGCTGCATTCAATTTTCTTTCAAGTTCATACTAAAATTATTGTAAATTTTTATTGATAATTGTTTTTCTGTATCACAGTCCATTTTTGGGTGCATTTAGTACTTTGTATATAGATCTTTCATATGTGCATAGGTTATCTATCATTTAAAACTTGCTTGCTTCTGGGAAGGACATTCAAAACCTGGATTGAAGAACGCTGTATGTTAACTATAAGTCCCCACTGTGCATTAGCCCAAGCCGTTCTGTCTGGCCAGGGTTTGCACTTCTTAACCAACCTTTCCTTATTTCCCTCTGAGTTTTCCTCTTTGGCCAATACCAGCCACTGTTCTTTCTGCTTGTTTTTTGTTTGTTTGTTTTATTTTCCTGAACTCAGCCTGTTTCTATTCTATTCTATTCTATGTAGGTAAAAGCATGCAGTGGTTTGTCTTTTCCCTGCCTGGTTTATTACACTCAATATCTTCAGTTTTCCTTATGTTGCTACAAATGACAGGATTTGGTCATTTTCTTGTGCCTTAATGGTAATTAGTAACAGTTTATTTTCATTTTCAGTTCCTTAATTGCACTTGCTGACTATGTTTTCATATATGTCTTTGCCATCTGCACATTTTTTCTTCTGAGAGAAAGTCTCACTATCCAGCACTGTGTACCCCAGAGCGTGTCGCCTAGGCTAGTTTCAAATCCACAGAGCTCTGCCTGCCTCCCCTAGGACCAATGGCTTCAAGTGCGAGGACTAAAGGTATGTCCCAGCAGACTAGACCCCGTCAGAAGCTCTTCTAATGACACCTTGGGCTTATGAGCTATTCCTGCTTGGTTTTTTTATTTATTTGTTTGTTTTGTTTTATTTTCCTGAACTCTGCCTGTTTCTATTAGTAACAGTTTATTTTCATTCTCAATTGAAAGGACTTGTAAGGACTGTTTAGGCATTTTTATGTCAGTTCTTTATCAGATGATCAGAACATCAGTATGGGTATCTTCTTTTTAAATCTTAACCTAGACTAGATGTTTCAGATCTGTTTTTATTCTTTCTTGAAGATCTAATCCTAGTCAGTCCAGTGGTCCAAATGAAAGACCAGAAATCCTTACATAGTTTTCCCCTCACAGAGTTCAGCAGAAGATTGTAGAAGCTAAATACATAAGCACTCGTGAAAGTGAAGGGTTGGACTTAAAGGCTTTCACTGTGTTTTGCTTTGAGGAGCTTTGCATTCAACTCATTTGATATCTTTGGGAGAAATTAGAATTCTGAACTCTATTGTATTTAAAATGCCCTATCCCAAACTGTTCCTGGAGCTTAACTATTTTTCAAGACGTCTGCAAGATTCTTTTTATTCCATTGATTTTCAGTCTCTTGTCTCATTTTGAGGAAATACCTCATACTATATATAGTATTTGCAGAGTTTCAGTATGTATTAAAACTTTGACTCCTCATTGAAGAACTCTATTCCATTTGTTCCACGAAAGAGGTTAAGTTCTTTAAAACAAGAACAGTTCTTTGATGAAAACTTCTACAACTTTCCCAGTGTCTCACGCAGAACAGTAGTGAGGAAGTGAGGCCAAAGGGCCGCATGATGTGGGGAATTCTTGGCCTAGTGCTGCAGAGGAGGCCTGTTAAAAAGTTTAAATTTTTGCTGTGATATTTTTCTGTGGTAATTTTTTCAAAAATATTTCCAATCCCCTACATGCTAAATGTGGCCATTTGTGTTTCCTGTAGTGTGAGATATGAAGAAACAAGGGTTTACTACTTAATGGTTTTCTAATCAAAATGTCATTGTAGTATTCATCTGCAGAAACTGGCCTCAGAAAGTATGGTTTTTGGTTTATTTTGTAAATAAATTCGGGAAGAGAATTGTTTTTGTTGGTGCTGATGAGTTCTCCTTTGATCGCTCAGCTTCACCAGGGACTGTGTCTTTGGGTGGTCCTTTGCTTGCGGCTTGATACCAAATATTCCTTTGCCTCTTCTGACAAATAGCCACTGCTCCCTTCCTAATTACCAGCCCACCACCCCAGTAGCCATTCCTCCTGTGCTACCTACCCCACCCATCACCCCAGTAGCCACTCCTCCTCTGCCACCTGCCCCACCCACCACCCCAGTAGTGGATCCTCCTCTCCTACCCACCCTACCCTCCACTCCAGAACCCACTGCTTCTCTCCTATTTGCTCTGTCCAACACCCCTGTTTCTTTTGTAAAATTGTCCAAATGAATATGATTAGCTCATGAGCCTTTTTGAGGCTTGCCTTGTAAGAATTTGGTTATTTGAAATGAACCTGAAATACATTCATATTAAAATCACATTATTTACATTTTAAAGACTATTTCATAGGATTTGTTTTCAACTTAAGACTTTGAGTAAAAAAATCTTCTTTGTTCTTAAAGCATTTTGTGCATTTTGATTCTTTGGTTTAAATTGTATCTACTTTCTTGAATCCCTATACAGACATACTCTTTTTTTTTTTCTTGACTGTTTTGTTTTTGTTGTTCTATAAACGTACAATACATAATTTCTAAGTTTAGGAGACTATTAAGGATGTTTTATGCTTTGGTTTTTAAAAAAAATCTCAAAAGAAAAGCAGAATATGGAGAATAATATTCATTTCAAAAAATTTTAAGAAAAGATTTATTTTATGTGTTTGAGTGTTTTGCCTTCATTTTTGCACTAGTATACTTTGTGCCTGTGGAGTCCAGAAGAGGATATCATATCTACTGGAAAGCGTTACAGATGGTTGTGAGCCACCACATGGGTACTGGGAACTGAACCTGGGTTCTTTGCAAGAGCAGCAAGTGTTTAACCACTGAGCCATCTCTGTCCCTCCTAGCTCTTTCATAAGCAAGATGGGGTGTCAGAATTACTGCACAATCTCTCCAAATGACACAGTGCTTCTAAAACGGTTTTATTTATTTCCTAGTATTTTTTTTCCACAAAAGGCCCTGAAATTTTACTGGTCTTTGATTTTTCATACATGACTTCTCAAGAAACGGTGGCAGGGCCAGGCATTTCTTTTGATTAGGCTTTATAGGTGTTTCCCCTTCATCTCCTGCCTGAGACTTCTCCAAAAGACTCTCCAACTTAATTAGACTTTTGGTGCGCAGCTGCAGAAGCGGGTGTGCATTCGCCCTTTCAGGACCCTTCATCTCCTCTTTCACTCGGTCGAGCTCCTCAAGTGAAGGGAGCTGGCTCTGGTCACTCCTCATCAGTTGTTCCTTGAGTCTTTGCTCCATCAGTTCCCTCCCTCGAAGCATTCGTTCCTGGTGGTCTTTGATTTGCACCTTTTCCCTCTTTTTTACTTGCTGTCTTCTCTGTGCTGTGGGGACATCATGCACAATTCTTGGCAGCCCTTCATTGGGGAAGAGTCTACACATTCTGTTCTTACACTCGCTGGCCTGGCCTGTGCGCTGTGTTTGCTGTTTAGTTTCTTTCCTCTCTTTCTCAGGTACTGAACAGTAGTGTTTTGGTTTTTCCATGCGCAGTGTTGCTTCTGCCCTTGTTTCACCACCTGAGTCTTTCTCATCATTTCCACTGTTCTTTTATCATGGTAAGACTGCTTTGGCAAGCCAGTAGTCAAGAGAACAGGCTTACTCTCTGATGCTTTATAGTCCTCTGGTCACTCAATGACCAAGTGGCTTGCTGCTGTTGTATGTAGGCCACCTACATTCCAGAGGCAAGAACCTTTATGCCAGTGGAGACTCTTGCGTTTTAGCTGACTGGTATCTTTATATGCATTTATCAAGCCAAAACTTTCCAAGTGTTCAGAATTCCTCCCAAAGAAAGTGAAGGAGGTTAGCTTGTTCCGCGTGGCCTCAAAACATAATGAGGGCCCAAGGATGCTGAAGAGTGTGTTAACTGCTTTTAGCCACTTCACAGCTGGAAAAGAACACAGTCTCGAGACCAGTGGGAGTTGTAGTTTTCTTCTCCAATGGCCTCAGAGTCAGTATTCAGGAAAACTAGTGTGGTGGCTTCTCTTTTCCTCTCACTTCTTAGGTTTTGTAGAGTGTGAGACACAAATGAAGAAATATTGTAAGACAAGGTCCAAGCAGGAAAAGCTGCCAGAGGCCCTAAGCTACCATTCCTTTAACTGATAGGACATCACAATACCTGACTGAAAATGCCATGGCAACCTAGACCTTCCTTTCTGAGATGTTCTGCTCCCTCCCCAAAGCTCAGGGATGAAGTTCCACATTTTCCCACTACTTTTAAAGTCCAAAATTTGGTTTTGCATAATACAGTTTCATTGGAAAACAAGACAAATGATATCGCATTTATTTTTATAAAAGCTTTTCCTGTTGGATTTGGTGGCACTGGCGTGTAGTTTTAGCCTCCCCAGAGACCCAGCTTAGTAAGAAGGATTACCTGAGCCTGGATAGTAAGAGTCCTCTTAAAACAATGTGGGGGGAAAGTTCCAAGAAAATGGCAGTGATCTAACTAACTTAAGCATATTGTTGCTGGGCGGTGGTGGCGCACGCCTTTAATCGCAGCACTTGGGAGGCAGAGGCAGGCGGATTTCTGAGTTCGAGGACAGCCTGGTCTACAGAGTAAGTTTCAGGACAGCCAGGGCTATACAGAGAAGCCCTGTCTCGAAAAACCACAAAATCAAACAAACAAACCATATTGTATAGTGACTTTGTTCCCCCCACATATCAGGACAATGATTGTAGTGACTTGTGTTCACATTACCTATAAAAGAAGAACATGGTGTCAGATGTCAGCACTGAGGCAGAGGCCACTACCATGAGAAGAGAACTGGACCAGAGACAAAACATATCTAAGCACATGCGGAAGCCTTCTGGGATTCTCTCCCCAGCCTATCCTACCTAGCATTTTCATGCACTTACTCAGTAGTCTACTGTTACATCTCTTCTGAGATCACTTCCCTGACAGCTCTTGCTGGCCCCTTCTACACCTAGTTTTCTTCAGCTTCACTGGAGTTAATCCTGCCTGTCTGAAAAACTTGAAACTTCTTGTTTTCAACAAACAGACAAACAAACACACAAGAAAATGGCTGTTTGTTCATAAGCTCCCTGTAGCAGTAGAAGTAGTGATTACTCCTTTAGGATCCACAATGCCGAGCAGCACTGTACTCAACCTTGTCACATCCTGTTGCACATTCCTCTTGATGAGCTCAAGTGACTCCAGTGCATAAAACTTCATTATAGTATAAGAAAGGACCGGAGGTTAAAAGGTAACCTGGTGTTATATCCAGGAAACCAAATCACAAAGGAGATTTAGTCCAAGCCGCCACTGGGCCTTCAGGAATACAGCTATCATTGTACTGTACCTGTAAGCATACATTTATGTAGTCACTTTCTAAAGCAGTTTCAGTAGATGAAGCCAACTTTAACCATCAGTCCTGAGCCCGTGTGGAAGTCTGATCGAGTGATTAGGAGATACTAGTTGTGAATACTCATTAGGAACAAGTTGGTGAGGTCTTCACCCCAAAGCCTCATTTACTCCTAAAGGACTCTACTAGTCATGTTATACTTTATATAATCTCGAATATGAAATGGTATCTGTAAACAGAAGTTTTAAATCCTAGAAGTACCTACCTCTTTGTCAGGGAAGATGCCTTACTTTTATGGAATTTTGAATATGGTCACATATGAGTTTGAGATCTGTCATAAGCAAATTGCCCCGAAGAACTATCTTTTCTTTTGCATCAGCTTCAAAGCTTGGTACTGTTGTCTTCAACAATTGTTTAGTTTATTTAAAGAGCTTGTGTATGAAGTTGCAGAAACAAGGTTGGTAACTGTAGTGGTTTGAATAAGTATGGCCCCCATAGAATCATGCTGTGTGAATGCTTGGCTTCACAACAAGTGCCAGTATTAGGAGGGTATGGCCTTACTGGAATAGGTGTAGCTTTGTTGGAGGAAGTGTGTCACAATGGAGGCGGGTTTTGATTTGATCCAGCCACTCCCAGAGTGACACATAGTCTCTCCTTGCTGCCTGTAGATCAAGATGTAGAGCACTGCTCAGTTTGCAGTCTGGATGCTCCCATGCTTTCCTCTACATGATAATGGACTCAACTTCTGAATTGTAAGCCAGCCCCAATTCAATATTTTCCTTTATAAAAGTTGCCTTGGTCATGGTGTTTCTTCATAGCAATAAAACTCTAATACAGTAAGGAACAACCTCGCTTGTTTGGAAGTACAATCTAATAGTGAAAGGTTACATTTACACACTAATACATGAACACATGTACAATAAACAACTTTTATTAGATTGTAAAGTTATGGCAGGAAGTTCTATGTTGGTATATAGCTTAGGCTGCTTCTAGGTAAAAATGTTGACAAAGAAGTGATGTTTTAAGATGCAGCATATGAGGATACATAAATGAAGATTTCAAAGAATGTCTGGTAACTGCTGAAAGGACCTAGAACAATAGTCCAGGTAGACTTCATATGTCACTGAATCCAAGAATTATTAGGTTAGATTCCCAACATAGCTACTTACTATGATTTGTTAGAAATGTATCATGTTTTAATAATTTTGTGGCATTGGGCACAATTGAAAAAAGAGAGAGGTTTGCAGAGTAGACAGAGAAAGAAATAGTAATAATACTTTGTGATCAGTGTTGCTCTGCATGGTTGGCCATCTGTGATGCCTTTTCTGAGAGGAGACTTTTTGGCTTCTCTCTTCATAGGTACATAGGTAGCTCTCTGTGACTTTACATTGACCCAGTGCTCCCACAACCCTCTCATTCCAAGCCCTCATTGAGAAGCTATGGCTTACAGGCTCAGGCTTAAAACTGTTAGAAAGAATGAGACCTTTATGTTACTAGAGGTGAGGGATGTCAGTGATAGTAGCTCTCCACAGAACTTGGACTGTTTCGTGGTAGTTCAATGTCAGCTCTAGTGTTCCATAGACCCTGCTAATTGAAACTCCATACTTACAGATATACCATAGTACAGCTAATATGGTGAACAGCAGGTAGCACAGCGCCTGTTACCAGCTCACTAGTGTTCACATTCACCAATAAATGAGTTTTGCATTGTGTATATAATTGGAAAAGCTTACTGGTTTAGCAAATGTTGCTTCAGAGCTAACTTTGCACTTAAAATGTGAAGATGTAAGAATTAAGAACAGTCTCATTTTGGTAAACAGATATTAAACTGTTTTTCTAAGAAATCCACCAGGAATTTACCCACAATTCCTCATTTTGTGGCATTAGAAGATTGGCCTTCCCTTTTTTTACAAGTCCCTTCCCCAGTACTTGGAAATCCCTATCCCTTGTGTCGAATGTGTTCCTCATGGCTTTCTACTGGCAACTTCCCTGATGATTTTTGATCATGCCTTTTATCTGTTGAAAAATTGAGAATTTGGTTTCTCAGGTACAATTTGTGTGTCCTATTGTTGGGCATTTATCTTCACTTTTTTGTTGCTTTTTGAAATATATTTGATTCATATTTAATCATAAAAAATTATAACCCCTAGCTTGAGGAAGTTTACAATCTGGATCACCATCCGTATAGAAATATACAAAGGAATATAGGAATGATATCCACAGGTAATACAAATGAGAAAAAATACATATAAATACTGTAGTCCATTGGAATCCTATCCTTTTAATAAAGTGAAACTTTTATGAATTCATAACCAGGAAGGGCCAGTCCAATGAAGTTTCTAAGTTTGATGGTGCCAACATATTGGTATTATATTATCATCTTTTATCAATCGTGAAGTGACTTACTGCTCAAACTGGGGACATTTTGGTTTGAAAGGTTCTCTTCAGCCATAAGCCATAAAAATGCCATGGTGGTTTTGGGGTTTTGAGATAAAAATAGCCTGTACTGATTCTGTGTAGGTGTGCTTACCATATTTGTTTACATTTGCTCAGTGTTGGTACTACCTTTATTTCCAGCAAATTTTTTTCTTAAGTGTATTTATGTCTTGTTTGTGTGTGAAATTCTGAGCAAACAAAACTGAAGACGTGAAATGACACACAATTTACAACATTAAAATAAGGTAGCTGTTTTAGGGAACATCAGCGTCATCGCCTGCCTGCTACCATTTATACTTAGTAACACAGAACCCTGAGTGTAATGAAGACTTGCTGCTGTTTTCCTCATGTTAAAGCTCATGTGTGAGTCGAATACAGATACAAATACTTCAGAAATACAGACAGCAATAGCTAGCACATGTCTAATACTTACTATTTATAGAGCCGTGTGTGGACAGGATATTCCTATTTTTTTCTTTTGAGTTTTTATGATTTTATTTAAATATAAAGTATGCTTATGAACCGTTTATTAATTTTCTTAATTTATTTAATTCATTATTATTTCAGTGTGTGTTTGTATGGTGTGTGTGTGTGTGTGTGTGTGTGTGTGTGTGTATGTATGTATGTATGTATGTTTCTGTTACATGTGGAGGTCAAGGGACATCTTTGTGTTTCAACATTGACCTCAGACCATCATGCTTACCAGCCCTATTGGTTTTCAGGTTCATGTGGAGCTTAGTGCCTCTGGTG